AGGTAGGGGTGGTTGCAGCACTTGCGGAGCTCCATCATGGTGTTAATGAGGTTGGGCATGTTGTGCTGGTTCGCTCCTTTGGACAGGAAGGAGAAGTTCTTCTCCAAGATGGCTCGGTAATATTTCTTCTGAATGTTGGTCAGCTCCACCTGCAGGGACACCACACAGACGAAGTCCAAATGATGTTTTAGTACAAAGGCTGGTAATGTGGTTCTTCTTTTGCTGTGTTTTCCACCTAGTGTCTTTTCATTTATCACAATTACCCATACAATGAATCACATTGTGATTTTAGTTTCTGAATTTGAATATTGGACAATAGTAAAACCATCCAACCATTCATCTGTTGTATATTCATCACTTATACTGTTCTGGAACCTGGAAATTCAATCACAGAGCTGACACACACACACACACACACACACACACAGGCAAACGCATTCAAATTCACGCCTAAGGGCAATTTTAAAGTTTCTAATTCACCAAATCTGCATCTGTTTGGACTATAAGAGGAAACTGGAGCACCTTGAGGAAATGAACAGACATGTAAAGAACATGCAAATTCCACAAAAAAGGGCCTCAGCCGACTGCACTGGATTCAAATCACAGATCCTTTTGCTATGACGCAACAGCGCCAAGCACTGACCTCACATAACAGGAATTTTTCTTTTACCTAACTTACAATATAGTTGTGATTAAAACATGTTAGATATGATAAAATTGATTCTCAGCTGTTAAATGGAATTGTTTCTATCAAACACACACAAACAGTCATACCTCTATGATGGTCTCTTCTTTAGGTGCCAGGTTTTTTTCTACATCATCCTTCAGTCTCCTCAACATCATGGGCTTCAAAATGGCCTGAAGCTTCTTCACCTATTGGGGAGAACACAGCAGGAGGTGTAAATGTGACTTAAATGCAAATGTTGTGTTTTTTTTTTCTTGTCCTTCCTCTTTATGTCCATACTGGGAGTGTTTTTCTAAATCAAATATGTTTTGAGAAAAGAAAAAAAAATGAGAGAAAACAAAACACAGCTGACCCTAAGCAACACAACACAGGGACACATAGCAAGGACGCTGAGTGTGAGAGAACATGTTAGGATGCATTTAAAACAAACAGCACTACTTCTTGTAGCAGCAAAAGCCATCCCACACATTGACACTTTGGCCTGGCTTTAAGGCTACAATGGACTGTATCTACATACCTGTTCATCTGTTTTCAGGTCTCCAAATTCCTCCAGGAAGGTGCTTTCTGAAGGAAACTGAAGCGGCTCCAGGAAATTCAACAGGCTGAACAACTCCTCCACTGAGTTCTGCAGAGGGGTTCCTGTCAGCAGAACTTTGTGTTCCTGTTAGAAACATGGAGAGGAATATCTTTAAGAAACATGAAACATCGCACAGAACCTGCTGCTTGTAATCATATTTATTCAAACTGAACTGAAAAAGGACCCTGTGGGGTTTATCTAAACAGTCCTTCCTACAGGAACGACAGAGAGACGGGATTAAGCAAATAATAAGTCTAAGCAAATGTTGCCCAATTTACATTTTCATTTCACCCACTAAACGGTCAACAGTGACATAAGATAAAAAACACTGCTGAAAATTATATTATACTGGACGTGATTAAGCAAATTCCTACATGTACTGTATATCACTACACACACACACACACACACACACAAGACACAGACACACACACACACACACACACAGACGACACACACAGGACCAGACACGCACACGAGACCACAACACACACACACACAGACAGACACACAGACTGACCAGGTTCATGAGTTTGAGTCCCTCTAGCAGTTTGCAGTTCCTGTTTTTCAGTCGGTGGGCTTCGTCGATCACCACGCAGCGCCAGTGGAGCTTCTTCAGCTCCGGACAGTCGGCCATGATCATCTCGAAGGTGGTGATGACCCCGTGAAACTTCAGCACCCCAGGGATGGTATTGCCCTGTGGAGAAAGAGGTAGACAATGGTAAGTTTAAATGATCATTTATTTTTTTATCCTTCTGATTGATTTTATTTCTTATCTTTTTAATCTATTGTATCTAGTTTTTAGTCTTGCTTCAACTGCTTCAGTTTTATTATTATAGCTTTTAAATCTATTAATTGTATTTTATTGTCATCATATTTATCTTTGTTTTGTCTATTTAACTTATTTGATGTAGTTTTTATTTAACTTTATTAAGGTTGACACTTTTTATTGGCTTCTCAGTCGTCTGTGAAGCACCTTGAACTGCAGTAACCTGTATGAAAGATGCTACACAAATAAAGTTTAAGTGACTGATTGCAGGTCAAGTCTCACTCTTGTCTTCACAATCTCTCTTTTAACCTTCCAATAAAAGCACTAAATACCTCCAAAAATGTTGAAACTGCTGAACAAGTGAGTTTATAAGGCATGACCAAAATGAATATTCACTCCTCTTGGATATCTGCAGAAAGCCAAACTCAAAACCTATTAGCTGGACACAGTACTGCATACAGTATGATAACTCTGTATTCATCGGAGACTGGACAGGCAGAAATACCGGTTTTGAATATTTATACCACACAAAGAAAAAAAGACAAGCAGAGGGTGATTCTAAATAACTACATAGCTGAAATGAAATGGTCAAAGATGCCGATCACGTCATGGCCAGAGATAGAGCCACCCAGCAGAGAGAGTGAGGGAAAAGAGGTCAATAAGATAGAGAAAGAGAGAAATGACGAATGTCTGTCACAGCCACAGAAAAGTCTCTCAGATGGAGGATGGACACAGGAGGAGAGGAAGGCAGAGAAAAAGCAAAGATGCTCTTAAATCGTCCTCATCATCTGATGAATCATCTTGATGTTGTGAGGATAGAGCACACAAACAGAGTTAATGATCACAGGGTGGACGGTGCTCGCTTACCAAGAAAACACAGTAAATACACAATGAACTACATAACCTGCAAACACACTGATTGAGATGAACAATCTTAACCTTCTCCATGAAAATAACCTGATCTCCAACAGTAACGTTCTTCACTATATGTTTAGCCTTAAAGGAATTCATAACACATTCGTATTAATGCTTATCTCAGTAGTAGAAGCAACTCAACTATGTCCTTATATCACAAGTTTAAACAAGACCTCTAAACGGTTTACTAGGAACTGTTCAAGAGCTGTTTAAAGCTATGACAATAAGATCTCTTTGATGTTGTGAAGTGTTGCTGTAGAGGGATGGAAGGCCAGTGTGAGAGTAAAGGAGATAAAGAGGCAGATTCTGTCATTATAATAAAATATCCATTGATCTTGCCATCAGAAGATCTGAACCTGATATAGTGATAGTTGGTGGATTAACTCTGAAGTCTGGCAAACACAGCTTTAAGATGAAAATATACCACCCAGCTCGTTTAAAGCTGACGTGATTCAACAGAAACAATTCCATATCAGCGGCGGCCATCTTGGTTGTTTACAAAAATGCTTCAACAGCTAATAAGGTCACACTCCTCTGCATAGTCACTGTATGAAACCCGGCTCGATCAGATCCAGGTCGGCTGGAAATCTTTCTGAATGGAGGGGGGGCCAGACAGATCTGCCAGAGCAAATAAAACATGAGCTTTCAGATCCGTCTATTTCCCAGCATAGGTAATAGCCAACTGGGTAATTTCTTCTTTTATTACTGAACATGTTCAATAACCATAGCTACTGTATAACCTACAATAACTTCATACTAAACCTAGCACCAACCTTAAGATAGTCCCTTAAGTACAAAGAAATACATCATAATAACACTAAGATCAGCTGAACAAGAGGTTTTTGTAAGGTATTAAAAAGTGAGTTAAGATGGAGTCAAAGTTTTTAAGTTATTCAAACCCCCAACAGCAGTAAATATCAGGTTTTGTGAGTCAGTACCTGAGACTTGGAAAGCAGGAGCTTATTAAAACAGCAACTGTGAAAGCAAGTTTAATTCCCTGTCCTTTCCTTACATGCAGCTGTAACGTCTTCTGCCAATTTCTGTGACCTTGTTGTTAACTACAACATCCTCCCTGCTCTCTGCAGAGACTGCTTGCTCTCTCTCCAACGGTTTGTCTTAACCAGTAATCAGAAGACAGCAGGAAAAAAACAATACGCGACGCAGCCATAAAACATTTCAACTTTGCGGTGAACACCATTCTCAGCCAAGAAAACACATCCTACCACAGATACCACTCTCTAGACCAACCTCAACAACTCAACACTAAATGCAAAGAGTTTGTACTTCCCCTGAGGTTTGTTGGAAGGGATTTCCCGACTCTTCACTAATTACTCATTACAGCACAAAGACAGCAGGCAGGTTTGTGTTAATGTGAGTTCACCAGAGATACCAATTATATCAGCTTGAGGATGAAACAAACAATTATTTTTATATTCAGTTCATCAGTCAATTATAGTTTCTATCAGCTAATTAACTGACTTTTCTATAAAATGTTACAAAACACTTTAAAAATGTCCAAGATGTCTTCATATAGCAAGCTCCAAACAGTCCAAAACCCAAAGAGATTTAGTTCACAATGATAGAAAAGCAACAAATCCTCACATTTGAAAATGTAAACTGAATGACTTCAACAATAAATTGATTATCAGTACAGATGCACAAAAATATTTTTGGCCTATAAATTGGCCATATATATAGATATATTTTAGACCAATACATTTATTGACTAATCTATAAACTAAACACTTTATCATGAAATAATGTCTGGAAGAAAGGAAACCTCACAGACAGATGATTCATAATATGGGTTTTTCTCTTTAATAGGCAGCAATATTGTTTTTGCAGCGAGCACTACAGTCGGGGCAAGCTGTGTAGCATGTATTGAGCTATTAGCTGCGTACCCTTCTTACTAACAATTATAACTTTATAACACAACAAATAACAACCCACAATAACCTCTCTTTAACAGGCCAAACACCATGGCTCACAACCATTTCTGACTACTTGTTTCTTACTTGTGCAATAGAAAATTTTTATACATACTTATTTTATGTAAATATTGATACTGACTGAATATTTAATGTCAGTTTATAGTGCGACTATTTTAAAATATTTTGTTTTGAAAAGAAACCAATGGTAAAGTTGTATCTTATTTACTTTCAAGTTCTGTTTACTACATTAAGGTAGTAACTCTTACACACAATAATAACAACATTTTTATTTTTTTCTTTACATTCTGATTCCTTCATATATTTTGTCATTTTGTCAGGCGGAGAAAACCCTATAGCAATAAAAGTCTTCAGTATATAGTATATGTCATTCATCATGAATGACATAACACACTGTGAAACCGGCAGAATGTTAAAAAATACCGTGATTCAAATGTTTGGTCAAACCAGCCAGCACTAGTAACCGGATATGTGGTGAATATGGTCTTAACAGAAGTCAGCAACAGCTAACTCTCGCCACTTTCGAGGATTCCCTCCCCTTTTATATCCTCGTGAGGGTATGTGGTTCAGAAATAAAAGACATCCACCCACACCTTCTCCCTTTGGGTCTATTTATAAAAACGTCACACAGCTGACTCATCCACTGTGTGATGAGAGGCGATGAGCACTGTGCGCGCACTGTTAAAAATCATACATTCAAACATTACCTGTGGGTCTCTGTAAAACATCTCGTACTGCAGGATCATCTGCCGGCTGATCTGCGAGCCGTGATACACGATGACGTTTATGTTCGTCCACGTGCGAAACTCCCTCTCCCAGTTGGTGATGGTGGACAGGGGGGCGATGATGAGGAAGGGGCCGCGGATCCCCATGTTGAAGATCTCGTACAGGAAGGTGATGGACTGGATGGTCTTCCCCAAACCCATCTCATCAGCAAGTATGCAATTTTTCCTAGGAAGAAAAAAGAAAGACAGTGTGTGTGAGAGAGAGAGAGGAAGAGAGAGGGAAGGAAGACCCATTGCCATAATCCTAAAATACAGGAAATACATCTCATTTATGATAATTAGTACAACACTTAAGCTAATTAATGCAATATTATTTGTTGTATTCTTGTTCAGCTTGCCGTATGAAACATAACAGGTAGTACAGTTACCTGTCTTAATAAAAGGTCAATGTCCGACCCAAGCAAGTGTTAAAAAGTTAAGAAAGCTCGTGTAGCTGTAGCGAGGAGAGAGTTCCCAGTGAGAGGCATTTACTGTACCTCAAACATCTTTAGTGACTGTTTGAGATCAGAAGGAGGGCTGACTTTAGTCTGGGTTCGTTGGATTTATGGAATGAACTTCACTTTACAGAATGAAATCCCAGAAGGTCCACACAGCTAATGCAGGTGTGTGTGTGTGTGTCTTTGATGCCATTCTGAATACTTGAGAAATGCCAAGTGCTGTGTGAATCATCTCTCTGTGTCTACCATCAACCTCAGACAAATTTAACACTTGAAAACTAATTTAGTCCCAGTGTGACCAAGTACACTGTGTCAAGGTAATTATAAAAAGTTATTTTCAGTTTCATTGGTAGTTTAATTCTAGTTCTAATGATGCTGATGCTTGTTTTGTTTTGTGTTTTCTTATGTTATATTCAATGATTTATTCAGTCAGTTTTAGTTTACAGTGTGTTGTTTTTATTTAGATTTAGTTTACCAGAATAACTTGGGTCAGTGAATGTATTAAAAAAACTGCTTTGACTGGTTCCAGTGTGTTTGTATACAGTATTCACCTGTTGTACCAGTTGAACAGTAACCAGTTCATTCCCTCCAACTGGTATTCTCTGAGCTGGTTTCCATTCCGGTAATCTTTGGAGTGCTCCAACTTCTGCCATTTTTCCGGAGGAGGACGCTCCTGCAATGTGAAACATACATTGTACTTTCCGTTATTCCTTTAGTGGTAAGAAGTGTTTAACGTCTCACCATTTCAATTTCAGTTGAACCAAAGAATACGTAAGTGACATTTCTGCTACCATCCATCAGTTTTAAGTTGTATTATTAAAAAAAACAACTATGATTACTAACAACAACAACAACTGTGAAAAGGTTTCTTTTTCTGAATGTAGTCATCCTCACTACATAGCTGGGAAGAAGAAATATCACATATTAAAACTCTTTTGTTCCCCTGATAAATCAGAAAGGAGATAAATGAGTTCCAATTTTTGAAGGTAAGGGAGGACTCATTCTCTGATGTTGGAGATTGAATGAACAAATAATAAAATAAGTAGCTGCCTGGGTGTAATAAGTGATAATAATAGTTTTGAAATGAATAATGGCTAAAAAGCAAGAATAATATGCTCAGGTCTAATCTCTCAGGAGTGGCCAGACTCTGAAAAATGACCACTTAAATAGCTGCAATTTTGTAATCAACATCCAGCAAAGTAAACCTACTGTTCAGGAGACTGATGAGTTAAAATACACCTCTGTCACAAACTTCTTCCTACATTAAATGGCCTCTCCGTTGTTGTCTGGGCGTCACAGTGATGCCCACACTGAACACTGGAGTGCAGACGCGGAGGGGATTGCGGGTCACAGAGCAGAAGATGCTTTACATGGATCTGATTGTGAGGGTTTTCAAAACCTCAACCTGACCTCCAAAAACAAACACGAAGCCAGACCTGATGGTGCAGAACTCCAGCGTGAGAGGAAAGAAAACCTCACAGTGGTGATTGTGTTTGCACTCATTAGCACAGTAAAAAGAAAACAAGGCCAAGATGGTGAATTTGGGGGAGTGTTGTTGTAGAGATGTGGGTAGAAAGGTTGTCTGTTCTGCGGGGAGGGTTGGAGATGAAGTAGAACGCCATGATGTTGTGGTGTTGTGCAGTTTCCCTGTTGCTTTTATCTGCCCACCAACCTAAACTCAAAATGCAAATGTGTTTGCTCACTATTTATCTAACATAATGTGGTTCCAGACATCTGAATCACCGCCACATCACATCACACAGGTCTGGTGATCTACTCTTTGACAGCTGCTTCCCTGGCTGGGAAATCAACCGAGCCAATCAGAGCTCAGTAAGTAGCATTCCGAATAAAGACATCTCCCTGCACCAGAGTCAGTAAAATTGTGAATAAAACAGACACTTATACAAGTTGTTACACGGATAAGTAAGTTATAAAATCAGAATATTTCTTGCTCCAAGCAATTTGTACTGCAGCTTCTGTGTTGACTGAAAATGACAGACGGGACGTTATGTCAGTCACTGTGGACTAGTCAGGGCAAAACAAACCCATCTTCCAAATGGAAATCAGCTAACATGAACACGACGTCAGACTGAGTAATGAAGTCAAAACGAAACTGCAGTTTAGACTAATTATTAGGTTATATCTGAGGTCGACTGCTACACTACCAATGCTCTGCTTATTTGATGTCAAAGTCTTACATCTCTTTGCTTTCATTTCATAAGTTTGGTTTCATCTGAAGTGATACTTCCCCTGCTAACAACACTTTGCCACTTTATTGATGAAGATCTTTTCTCTTCACAGTGTGTGGGTCTATAATAATCACAACCTTATTGAAGAGTAAATATGTGCCACAAAGTTTTCCAAGCTTACCAAGATTTGCTTTAAACTGGCATCGTATTCACGTTCTTGAGTTTTTGTAGAATTAAAAATTTTTCCTCCTCAAAATACTTCAGTTTTTCTCTTCTCATTTTCTCATCCTCTTTATTTGTTTCTGCTCACCATGTGTCTGAGATCTGGCGGCAGCTTCTGGATCTCCTCAAACTCTTTGATCTTCTCTGGGTCCAAGTCCTCCTGCAGCTCCCACGTTGCTTCCTCATATGAGAGACTGCACCACTTAACGAGGTAATGGGTCACCTCCTACAACAACATACAGAAAAACATTGTGTGTGTGTGTGTGCCACAGGACTAAGAGTGTACCACCACACTGAGGACCTTCAGTAATAATTGCTTTCAAACCAGACAAACGCTGCTGTCAAGGTCTGTCTGTGTTTCTGTGTTACGTACCTCTCCAGTCTCAGTATCTGTGGTAACAGCCACCTCCAGCACTCTGTCCACCTCTACATAGTCTGGATTAAATAAGTCCTCATCGGGCTAGAGACAGAGAGACAAAGAGAGACGGAGAGAGAAAGAGACAACAAGAGATTATTCTTTATTACCTATTAATCAGTTCAGGGATCACTTTGAATAAAAAAGAAAATAGCCTAGAAATAAGAAGAGAGTGGGTCTTGTCAGTGGTTAATAATTTAATTCTTTGTCATTGGTTATGACACTTTGTATTTACTTTGTATTTATATATATATTCAAAATACCGCATTTTTAATTAGATAATGCATAATTTCCATATTTAAACATATTGTCTTATTCTAAGTAATCAACTGTTGCATGGTAATGACTGTCAGTTCAAATTTCTACTCTATTGATCTTTATCAGTAGTTTCTTCATATTGCAAATCTACCAGTGCTGTTTTTTTCTACCCTGTATTTATGGCACCTATTGTAATGCAACTGTGCATCCTGAAAGAAAGGCCCCCTCTGTTTCATTCACTCCATGTTGTACCAACTGTAAAGTCCTCTGGGACAATCTGGTGATTTTAACCCATATAAAATTGGCTTTACTTGACATTTCTCAATTTTAAAGCGCCATCCTCCCTCTGAATAGTGGTACCTTGCTACCATCCCTTACCCCTTAACAAGTCTTCTGAAAAGCTGTAACAAAATCCAACAATGACGTCTGACCTGGCACACTTCTATGAAGTTGAAATTAAGCAGTAAAAACTATATTATGCTTTTGTGTCAAGGTGTTGCCTTGGTTACAGTATGTTGGAGTTAACCTGTCGACCTTTATAGAACTTTAAACGCTGGATTAATGCGTTGTGAATTATCAAGCAGTTTGACCCATTCATTATGCACCTGAAGAAATCACCTTTACATTCTCCTAATCGCTTTGTGATGGACAAAATGGCTTCAGTAATATCTTCGCTATATTATCAAATACAAATGTGTCCAGAATGACGCAAAAGGAGAAGATTAGCCTTGTGTCCAGACCTGAACAGTAGATAAGAACAATAAACAGCAGACGATGATAACTGATACCTCGGTGAACAGGTGTTTCATCTGGGCCTGTTTGGTCCTGAAGCGTTTAATCTTCTGGTGGATTCTGGGATCTTTCTCCAGCTCTTCCAGAGTGGCCCATTTGCAGTGCAGGTAGGAACTAAAATACAACACAGCACACGAATCAACACAGCTTTCTTTGGTGAAACACATGGATTTTGTTTGCCTGATCGTATGTTTGTAAAATCAACAAAAGAAATAATTATTACCCATCAAAAATATCAAGACCAGTCACTGTGACCTCTCTTTTTCCACCATTAACTGAACATAATGGCTTGTACATGTAGTTAGACGAGTAGAACAAATCAGTCCTCACCATCATTTCTGCATCAAACCCAGTATAGCACCATAATCTATTTGAACCAGGTCCAGAATCTATGCTTTCAGGGTAAGTCTTGGCACAGATTATAGTACTGTCAGAGTTCAACTTGCAATGTTCTCACCTTGGCCAACAAACCAGGACTAATAAGCTCCAATAAAGCTTGTTGTTAACATGGATAAAATAGCATTACTTATTTATCATAGGTGCTAATTTAGAATTAGTCCAAAGTGACATTTGGTGGATGATGGTGATGTATACTGTTTCGTGTCACCCTCCACTGTATCTTTCAGACTCTTCATTCAATGAGTTTTATCTGTATGCACCATACATCACTGAATCTTACAGAACGGGGGAACAGTGAGGATGCCCCCCTCTGTGGTATACGCACTGAAAGAATTCCCTAATCATTAGTCGATGGGGAAGAAAGCTGAACAAATGTTGTTACTATGGTTACAGTTTGACATGCATGATTGAATCCATAAACCACAATCTATAAATGGACAAAAATAAATGTCACTGCAGTGTTCAGTGTATAGTACTTCCACTATGCAGTTACTAAACAGCCAATGCAACTACTGATGCATTTGATAATGCAATATGTATAATGGGGATTTTTACACTACAAATATTAAACTTGGGGCTTTTTTTCTGTAACTTTATAATTTGTGAATACATTATTCTAAATAAAGTCATGAAAAAGTAAAACGTTCTATTTAGTTTGATTCAACTCGAGCAAAGTCTCTATGTTTTATTCATCACCCCTGAGAATAAATTACGATCATAATAATGGCAGTATCGGTGTAGGACCTTTCTTAAAGATACAAAGTGCAGGAACAAACAGGAGGGTCTCCAGAGATCCTCAGACTGGCTAGAAGAGCTGAACCTTGGTGAGAGGATGACAAAAACTCTGCTCTCCCTCAACAGCTACTGCTGAGAAGCACTTTACTGACTCTGGAGAGTAGACCAAAGCTAAAACACAGCCCGTGTGTGCAAAGTCAACTTCTCTGGGAGAAATCATTGTCATAAGAACTATTAACTAAGCCGCTCTAACAAAGTGAAGACACTCCTTCAATGTTTTCAGCAATGAAGAGGGTCAATTTAAACACCTCTGAGGCTGAACGTGTGCATAATGGAACTCAGGACTTGCTGTAGATTCATCAGGGATGATTTTTAGGACTGTTTTTTGATTATTTAAGCAAAGCTTACCCTAACTTGCCACCCCGTGCCAAGGTGTTCCCTCCCTTTCCTCTACCTAACAAGCAACACACCAGCATGGTCACATGGAGCACAGCCCCAGTGATCACATGGGTTTTACTTCAGGTGCTTCATTTTCCATGCTAGTGGGTCTGTTACTAAATTGCAGAATAATCCATCAAACAGTTGCCAAGATATATCCCTTTGAATCACAAATGTCAACCCGCTGATGGCGCTTTAGTAAAAGTCAGGGGATCACCAAAGTCATTTCTTCCTCTGGATAACATAAATGTCTGTGCAAAGTTTAATAGAAATCCATCCAATAGTTGTTGAGATATTTCAGTCCAGACCAAAGTGGTGGACTAACACCAGCCACGCTATCGGCTAAAAAACGTGTGCATAGGCTGGTGTCCACAGTACCATCCTGACACAGATATGAACTGTATATGTACACTGAGTTACACCTTCACTGTGCAGTATAATCCAATACAACAGCCCTAGTTGTTCACGCCCTACTCCCACATATTCGCACCTGGAAGCTGCCCAGAACAGCCACAGTCCGATCGGTCGGCCACTAAGCAGCTCCACTGGGTGAGCAGGGGCTTTGCTAAAGGACCTCTCGGCGGTGGCTATGAGAGAGGGGCTGCTTGTTCACAATCCTGCCAACCGATGACCTTTCGATCAAAAGCTCCCTTCTAATCTTAAGGCCACAACTGTCCAACAAACAGCATGCTGAAACACTACAGATTTCCCAGAGTTCTGGTACGATTCAATTCTGGTCGTTTTGGATTCTGCAGTTAATTGTGGTGTTGTACTGGATTGCACTTAGAGATAGTTCTAATATTCTGACCGACTCATGCACAGTATGTAATTAGAGACGATAAAAACACCCCTGGCATGGTTCACCTGATCTGAGAAAGTGGATAGCGAACGGCAACATAAAATGGAATGAAAACCAATTAACGGACATCAATCAAGCACCAGCTAAATGTATAATAATGCCAGTATATGTAGATGATTAAGAGAAACTCACAAATTTCTGTACTTGACATAAAACTCCTCTGTCTCCTCCGCTTGGTCCTCTGAAGTCTAGGGAGGGAGAGAAGGAGAGAGAAAAATTAAGTGAAGGAGAATCAAATATATGGCGAGCAGCAGGAAAGTAGGTTAGACTGAGGGGGAGAAAACCAAAAGAATGCATTTATAATCCACACAAAATAGTTGATTCATTCATGAAATCGTGTGTGCGTGCATATGTGTGTATTCTTTCTTCTTCACCTCTTTCTTTGCTATTCTGACAGACAGAATTTTCTCAATGATGTTGGCCTCGTCCTCAGGTGGTTCCTGAGGGAGAGAAAGACAGAAAAGATTAGCTGTCTACAAGGATGAAGGTCAGTTCACAGAGAGCGTTCATACAGCAGCAGTGTAATAAAGGCTTCAGCCTGAAAGCATTCGCAGAGGCACCTCACAAATTCTAAATGTGTATTACACAAAATATTGGCAATAATTATTAGATAATGTCTCATCCTGAGAGGTAATAGTTTGTCCTACATGTTTATACGAATGACACAATATAATTCGAAACTGCAGCCTCTGAAGTGACAAAACATTATGACCTTCATGAAGTTAGACTAGTGACAGTGAGTCTTATTTTACCTGCATATTAAAACTGAAAAGTAGCATGTGACAGGAAGTGAAACTGAAGTAAAGAGAGGAAAAAAGGAGGAGAGAAGAACAGAAACAGAGGTAGTATTTGATCTTAATTCACCTCAGCCTGCCAGGCCAGCGCGGTGGCGTTGAGCGCTGAGATGCGGCCGGCTCCGAGAACTGCGATAGTCTCTCCATCGTCGTCTACCACCTTAAAGTCCAAATCCTCGTTATACTTCCTCCTCTTGACCTGACGTCCTGAACGCCGCTTCTAAAAAACAGGAAGGAGACAGATGAATGAACAGACAGAAGAAAGAGAGACGCAGATAAGGGAGGAAGAGTTGAGGAAGAATAAGGATGGAGAAGGAACGGAGGAGAGGAAAGAAGACGACCCAGAAGTGGAAGAAATACAATGAGGTATTGGGGTGAATTGAGGGGAAAGTGTGAGAGGAAGAATAGAGGGAAGGGGAAGTGAGATGGAAGGAGGAAAAGAAGAGATTTTAGGGTGAAAAGTGTTGAGTGAGGAAGGAAGGGATGGAAGGACAGCGGAGGAAGGAATTGAGGAGGAAAGGAAGGAATTAAAGAGGAAAGAAATGAAATGATGCAAAGATGGAGGAAATCCAAATAGAAATGTCATGGGAAATTGCTGCTACTTAGTTATTTAACAGAATCTTTGTAACTGAACATGCAGATGAGCTCTTTAACAACAAAACACGAGGGCATTAAATGTTGAGTAATAATGTCTGACGTTATTTATTAAAACAGATGTGATGGAGAAAAAAAAAACCTGTTTGACATCATAATGTTGACGTTTCCCTGCACTTGAGTCACCCTGTATCAGTGTTTTCCCCACTGCTAAGGACGCTGTAACGTCAGATTATTAAAGGTCAAATTAATTATGATACCTCGGTATCTCTGAGACGTGAACAACTTGCCTTCTGTTTTATGCCTACAAGAATGTCTCCTCAATTTAAAACACTGCAATTCCCAAAACCCCATCTGCTTCCTGTCACAAAGAGGATGTTTCTACTTGTTACAACATGTTTGAAGTGCTCTCAACATTATATTCTTTTGGCAATGGTCTAATTTGTTCCCAACAGTAATCGTGTAAGTCTCCTATAAATTCACACTCAATCCATGTAGCCCACAGCCTGCAGGGTCTATCCAGTCTTTCACTCACCGCGTTATCCAGAGGGTCTTGGCTGTCCTCTCCACCCATATTGAGGGCTGACATTGAGGTAGTGTCGTCACTCTCCGCCCCCTCCTGGACAGCCAGCTCCTGGTTTCTCCTCTTTCCCTTCTTCTTCTTCTCCACCGGCGCTGCGCCAGGATCTCTGTGAGGAGAGGAATTCTGATGAGTAATTAGCGGCTCTAGTAGCCTGCAGCAGCGTCATCTCACTCAGCCAGAGGCTGGAAACTCTACCGCTCCCTGAGGATTTGTAGAGGGCTGTTTCAGACAGTTATATCTGGTACAAAGACTGTATCCACACTTTGTTCTAATCTTTTCTAGGTACCGTTATTTCCTGATCATCAAGACAATCACTGAGAGCAACCAGCTGGTGAAATGCTGGCCACGAGATTGGAGCACGCTTTGGACCAGAAGGCTGCCGGTTTAAATCCCCTGACTGGTTAAGAAAATCAGAGCAGAGGAGCTGACAGGTCCATGGAGGTTGTTATGTAATGACTTATTTGCATATCTGCTGCAAAAATCAACTGAAAAATGATTTTCTTTAAGACAGTGATACGGCAGTTAGTTAGAGCATCTTTAGCTTATGTTATGTGACATATTTCTGAGTGGAACGACTGAGCATTTTAGGAGACGTTTGATCAAATCATTCAGGGATCTGATTGCTGGAAAGTGGGTGTGACACAGTGAGCATGAAGAAAACAACAGGGATTTGAAGATAGATATCTCAATTCAATTATAGAGAACTGATTAAGAGGTGGAGAAGGAGGGAGTGAAACCACTTAAACCACAACTGTTCACTTCTGTCAATTTGATAAATAACCAATAAGATGTAAAGGGCCTGAGGGCAAGACTAGTGTGATATATTTTAGGAAAGAAAGCAGAAGGAATTTTAATTGTATGTATAATGTTATATTTTTTAACCAAACATGTGCCAGGAGATAGCATAAATTAGTACAAACAAAGAAACAACAACTTTTGGCTGGATGGGGCCTCTAAGGCAATCGCTAATGGGATCTTAAGCAGGATGCGGCCCCACCACTTCACCAGAAATCAATAACCAGTCCACACCTCTCCAATGTGTCACAGCACAATGGCACATCATAGTGATCATAGTGGATCATATGTGCACAGATTGCACCCAGACACCCAATATTTACGGCACAGTCCAAGAAGAGTCCAGCATGCAGCAGAGTGGGGGAGAAAACAGCTCTATCCCTGCACCGAGAGGCACGAGGGAGAGCGCCCAGTTAAAGCACCCAAATAACAATCTTCCTGACCAAAACACTCAGTGTGAGTCATAGAAAAACAAGACATCACGGAGAAAGAAACAAATGAAAGAGCAGGGAGAGGGAATAAATAATTAGAATAGTTATAAGTTATAAGTTCTCTTTCAAATCAAGCATCTTAAGACTTCAGTACACGTTAAGAACAAATACTACTGGCACCACTACAGAGAACTGCCCATGCACATTTAATATCCAGGAATTCACATTATAGACACTACTGCTGACCATACACAGTCCAGCCTTATAGGTTTAGACCTTGTCCTGTTACTGTATTTCAATCACACAAGAGCCTGAGCTGTCTGCTAAACTGAAACCAGCACTTAATTTACACAGGCTTCTGTTCGAGTGTTTTGTTGTCAATTCATTCCTTTTTTTTAAAACAGGAGACCAACATAGTGTATGACTCAGTTTCCTGAACATGCATTTGACCCATGTTTGACCGCATTCACGAGACTGCTGTCCCTTATAAATCTCACCGAGAGAGACACTGTGTCTGCAACTGCAGTTCCACTCACATCACTGCTAAGCCACAGTATTACTGTCTGTCCCATCAGCCACCACTTACAACATCACATCGACTTTTGTGACGTATAGCAAGTATTTATCTCAGGTTTTACATCCCACTTATTCATACTTATACATATTATATATGCACATTTTATTTGACACATACACACACCCTTTATATAATACAAATAAAACACATGTGAAAATGTGCATATATAATGTGTTTAAGTATGAGTAAGAAGGATGTAACCCCCCCTTTCCTGTCACTCTTCTGCTACCTCTATCCATTTAAGGCAGAAATATATATCTATATATTTTTTATTGTATCTTATCTTATCTCTTACACATATAACGAACTTTATCATATAAAATAAGATATTTCAGTTTCTAATTTGCAATCAGAAAACAGACTCAGAACTAGCAGGAGGCCTTATGTATTAACCTTTTTTCCAGAATGAATTTGTATTAATATATACAGTGACCAATACTTTCAATAAATGAGTTGATGGTAAAAACTTGAAACACATTAAGCACTTATGTTTTATTAATTGAAATTATTTTAATGATTAAAAAGCTTTTAGTTTTACAAAAAAAAAGCAGGAGTGCCATGTCCCAAGTGGACATCATGCATTTACTGTATCCTGCTTACAGACTGCATAACAATGTCTAATGTCTCTCAGATTACCATAAAGTAGAGGTGGTGGGCAATCTGGGCAATAATATCACAATCTATTTAATCGCAGTCAGGATCCATCATCTGTTGCTATCTCTTTTTTCAGTTTTGAAATGCCCTATAGACTACAGCCAGATTCGAAAATTCTCCATTTGAACCATTAAAACAGAAAATTGCATTAGAGATAACAAGGTTTCAAAATGGTCATATGGTCAATAGTCAGTGAGGTTATGTGAAATTAGTTAACAAAAGTAAGAGGCACTTAGTCTCTACCATTTGCCTGAAAAGAAGCCTTATCACAGTCAGATTGCATGAAGCCATTCATTTTAACTTGCAAAGTAGGGGAACACAATTAGTTTGAAATTCTCTCGCAGTTTATTTTACAAAAAGTAACAACACACAAGTATATGGTAAAAAAAAAAAATAACCTAAATGGGCTTATAAAGTCATCTCACCCAGAAAGAAACAACAAAGAAAAGAAAAAGGGAGAGAGAAATGACAAAGTACTTAAAGTAACTACTGTATTATCAGGTTCTGAATGGAAAAAATAATAATTTGTGCTCACAAATGAGTCACTAGTGTTTCTGAATTACTTTGGTAATTTTGGCCATGAAGAATCCAATCTGGTTTAATGTTTTGATCTGGACAGAGATACATGGATATACTTTGAATTTCACCTGTTAAAACAATGTTGAGTTATCTTTAATATTCCTTAAACACACGTTCAAATGTTACATTTATTTAACATTATGCTCTGTTAATCCACGGACAAATCTGATTAATATGAGAGCATCAATTACACATTCAAAGAGACCTGCCAGACTCTGCAGTACAGCACAAAGTGGCTATATCTTTAAGTTCCTATTCATCAGACTGTATATGGCAGGTTTGGGAAATTAACACCAGGAAATCAGTAATTAACCCTAGCTGATTGATTAGTTCCCTCTACAACTGAACTTAGAGTGTGACCATCGATCCCTCAGGAGTCAGTCTTCTTTTTAAAAATGAAGCTGATGTGTGAAGTGCACGTGAGAGCGACTGGTGGATTCAGGACTGCACTGGCAGCTGTGGTCTGAGGATTCTCCTGCCCCACTTTACGATATCCTCTCTCTTTCGCACTGAAACTTCGCCAACAGTGAAAAAAAGGACAAAGCAACAGATTCAGATGGGATTAAAGCTGCACCACATGAGGACTTTGTAATCTTCTTGTGAAAAGTGTTATCTGAACAAAGCAAGACCCGATACCACAGCTGACCTGGAAATGACCCGGAGTCAGCCAAGTTCACCAGTCCTCCTTCTTCCAGATATCCACAGCTCTTTTCTCTCCACTTTTATCTATGTTCCTCCTCTCCTTCGGTCTCATCTTTTCTTTCATGTCATTACTTCTGTTTTCATATTCCCTTATCATCAATAAACCCATTTCTCTCTCTCTCTCTTCTCCCTCTTTCACAGCAGTGATTGTGATCTCTCAACTCTCCATTACCTTCCTCAGCGCTTCTTCTCACCCTCTCACCCTCTCACACTTATCAGAAACTTTTTTCCTTTCTCTGTCTCTCATCATTTCTTTGTTGCCTTTCTTAATTTCACATCAGTGACTCATATCTTCTCTCTCCTCCATTTATTTATACTTTATTTCTAACGCCTTTCCCTTTGTCCTCTTCCCACAATTTCAGTCATAAAACTCTCTACTACCTAAACTTTACTTCCTTCGGAGAATATTGACTTTCTTTCATTCTTTCATATCCGTCGCCTTTCTCTCTTCCACATTACAGTATTATAACCACATCCCAGCTTTGTTCTCTTTCTTGACGAAGTCAACCAGAAATATATTTCCAATCCCTCGTCTCTTCAGTCTCTTTGTGAACAGCCACAACACAACGGGTATCCTGCCATAAAGCATCTATAACAGCTCTTTCTTTACAATTTATGACGTTCACTTTTGCACAAATGTAATTCAATCTGTTTGTGCCAGAGTTACTTTATGATAGGCGTATACTCTAGAATATAACATTAATTATAATTATTACTCTTAGTTTACATACTGTATATTTTCTGTTCTCTCTTAATGGTGGTGGTGTTTGGATTTACAATTTTACTGTGGAGCACAGAAACAACACAGAGACACACACAGGATCTAATTTATAACAATTTACTGACTTAAACAGATTAAAGTCAGAGAAAGTCAGCCACTGTGGTCAGTGAACGTTAAATGGTATTCCTTTTATAGAAATACTTATTATGCGTTAAAAAAAAAAAGCTGTGAAACAGGTATTTCAAAAATTAACTATTATTGATCTGTTAAAGGTTTAAAAAAAAATAACTCAGAATCTCAAGAGTGGAGGTAAAGTGCAACAAGTAAACCAATAACACAGAGACAAGAAAGAAGTCAGCATTATTGCAGTAATGTTTCAGAGCCTCTCTATCTTTGCTTCGACTTCACAACCTCATAAAGAGCGTTCAGCTGTTCTGAAGTGGGTTGAGAAAAAAACAAAGAAAGGAACAAACTAAAAAAAGACGGAAAAGGGAAGAATTTGTGGAAGACAAAGTGTGGAAGGGGAGAAACAAATGAAGAAAGGTACAGAGGAAGACAGACAGGGGCATGAGAGTGACTATTTGGGGAAAAAAGAAAATCTTGCCACCAAAAGATAGCTTTTCTGTGTTTCTCCAGCAGTATGTCATTGTGTCCGTTTGTGTTGAAATTATGGATTCCACTTGGGCAGACGTGCTGTGAGCGCTTTGCCAAAACAGATGGTTGAGTTTAGGCATCAGATTTTATTTTAAATATTGCATTTTGGTATAAGCCTCGAGATAGCTGGGTTTTGGTACGCAGTTAAAAATCTGGATTTTATCAGCAGATTGTTATTTTAACTATTTTATTTATATCAGAACATATTGGAAAACTTTCTCGCAGTATTCATATTGCTTGTTTTATTCAACCAAATGACCAAAACACAAAGATATTCAGTAAACTATCACATACAGCATCAAGCATTCAAATCTGAGAAGCTGTAATTAGTTGGCAATTTTGTCTTAAAATTATGAATCCGTTGTAAAAATAGTTGCTAATTTCTTTTCTGCCAATCAACTAATCCACTCATCACTGCAGCTCTAGTAATGGGTTACATAAACTGCTGTGGTTAAGGTTAGAATAATAATGTGTGTGCACCCTCCGAACACAGAGAGACAGGGCTGTCCACTCTGATTAGAAAAGTGTCAAAAATCCCTATACATCTTCATCAGATATCTACACTGTGTGTCTTAGCTTGTCTCTGCGTGAGGGAGGGCAGTAATGGAGTCATACAGGACCACTTGTGTTTGAGGTGCTTTAATAACAGAAAAAGGATGCAGGCGAAACGTTTTTTTCTGTTTTGTTCCTGCCAATTTCCAGGCCCTCAGAGTAGCCATCATCTATTTGTTTGTTCATCCATCACATGCAACATCTCAGATCCAATTTCAAAAAAATTGAGGAGCCAATTCATTCTTGCACATTTCCAAAATCACGAGCTCCAAGCTTCATTCTCACGGCTCACTTTGCTAAAGTACCACACTGTGTATCCATGTCGTCCTGGGTCTGAATAAGACTGATCACATCTTTTCTGTCTCTTCAATAAAGCACAAAAAAGCCAAAATATAGCCTTTAAGTGAAATACTTGTTACCCAGCTGCCCAGAGAAGAACTGCATAATTTGTTGCAGATGACAGGTTTACTGCTGCCCTGCTCTTTCTTGCTTGCTTTACTTCGTCAGTGTCTGCTTCTTGGAGTTTTTCTAGCACAGCCTCTTTCACTTTCTTTCTTCTAAATCCTTTCCCACTCTGCCTTCCTCTCGCTCTCTTATAAATCTCTCGCTCTTCCCATGAATTCCCAGCCAGTCAGAATGTCTTACCTGGGTTTGCGGCCCCTCTGTTTTGGCGCTGAGGGGACTGGGGTCTTGCTGTTGGCCCGACCATGGTTCTTGCCATGGACCTGCCCTGCGACCTTAGAGTGGAGGCCAGGGGTAGGAGGAGGTGCTGTTGGAGGACAGGGGAGTGAAAAGAGGACATGATGAAGATAATCTTTACGATTTGGTGACAAAACATAAACATAACTAGGCAGGTAGGCAGGTAGCATGTGCAACATTAAGCTGAATAAATGAAATCAAGGATGTTAGGTTCTGTGTCTATGTACTGTGTTCATTTACAGCTGCTAGAAAGCTGTTAAAGAACTGACATTAGCACCCGATATAACAGGTCCTAACTGGCTGATTCCAGGAGCAACTGTTGTTGTGAAAAGCAGATTTTTGAAAAAAAACAAACTTTTATTGTGAAATTAAAAGTTCTATAGAAAGTCCAATGAAACATGTCATTATATTTTATTACGTTACGTTATTGTTTTCTACAATTTATTCATGTGATTATTGATCACATGAATAAACTAATTACTGATCATTTGCTCTTGTCATAGGGAAGAAAACCTTTACACAGTCAACATTTCACTGATTGTTTTTTAACTGATGTAATAATATATGTTTATTTCATATATTCATTATTCTACAGGTTTAACAGACATTCAGCATCATTTAGGTTCATGATGAATGGCGTCTTCAAAACATGCATCAATGCTATTTCGGTTTTTCAGCTTTTATGCTAATGCACCCCCCATACCTGTGTGCACACACACACGCAGGCATACTCAGCCTTAATTAAATCCAGCAATCACATTCTAATAAGCTTAATTTATCCCGACATGTCTGATCATGATTTAAGAACATTTAAGAACAGAACCGTCATCATCTGTACCTTCCAATTAGTGCTGAAATATTCCAGCTCCAATGCTTGATGTGAGATGACATGCTGGACATTTTACTTTGGTTGCTGAGTTTAGGGATGTCACGAGAACCGATACTTCGGTAGCTAGTCGATGCAAATATTCTGAAAACATGACGTTTTTCTACAGTACTGTAGGTAGGTAGGGATGCGATTCCTCCTGACCTGATGGCACAGCATGTTCACCTACCAATAAGATAGTCTGCTGTTAAACGCCTCCCAGCACGGAACAACAAGCTGCAGCGACAGCTCGACTACTACTACATTTCTAGTATTGTGACATCCCTAGTTGACTCACGCACAGGAAGACACAAACACACATCTGATGTACTACCAAAGGTCAATCTGAATTAAATGTACTAAAGATTGAAACGCAGCAGAGGTTGAACCTGGTTTAGGGGCATTTAGGGATAAAACAAACATTGTTACTGTCACATGACTGAGGTAATCCGGCTGTATCTAAAAGGAATTTAATAGTGACACTACTTTTATTCGTTGATATTATTCCTGAAACAAGACATTTCAACTGCTTGAGCATAACTATATAGAATGGATAAATAGTGTGAAAACCCCTTTAATACACAGGATATCATGACAGATCTATACCTTTAATAGCAGCTCTGTTACGGATGATTATTGTCAGCACTGATTGGTTTGTCTCTTAATTTTTAATTGGATTAATTCAGTGATTCCCAACCAGGAATATGTGTACCCCGGTTACCAGGGGGTACATGAAAAGATTGTGTAACTCAACTAATTTTACAAAAGATAAATTACATTTTAATTAAAAATACATACATATATCAACATATTGAGTCAGCTCCAACACCTGAACACCAGATGTTACAACTGAGAGTGTCTGTCTGTACATGTATTGTTTGA